AATTGGGTTTTTTTATAGATTTGTGGAAAGACAATCATCGTTGATTTTATATAGATTTTAGGATGCCCAAAAGAGGACAGCCTTCGAGGATTTTTAAAAGATAAGACGTTGATTTTGTAAAGATAGACAATAAACACCAAGGATTTTCTGCCATATTTTTAAAGCCTTAAAAGAGGACAAATTCCCTGGATTATTCAATATTTTAAAAAGACCAAAAAGAGGACAAATTTCTAGACATTATTAGGAGGCCTCAAAGGAATAATCTTTAGAGTCCTTAAATCGTGAATTTTTTAATACTTTAGTGGAGATCTTTTCCATATTTTTTGGATGCTTCAAAGTGAGCAAATAATTGGGATATTTTTATAGATTTTTGAAACGCTCGAATTTTAAAATTGAAAAATTGCACTAATTTTCATTTCAAAATCCTCTTTAGATTCCCAATATTTGCATTCCCACATACCTACAAATTTATTTATTATCAATAATATTTTTTATCAACGTTTGCAGGCTTTGAACCAAGCCTTTGCATCTCACTGCATCTGTTGCCATATTTTTGCTAGTTTGTAAAACGTATTTAATTCAGGCGATTGCTTCTTTGGCTTTGATTTTTCATATCTTTTTGGTGCTCTCTTTACTATCTGCTGCCTGGGTTTGTGGGTTTTTTTACACATGTGCATACATTTTTTTTGGGTTAAGGATGACAATTCCTTTGTTTGGCCATTGAAAAAGGCACACCGTGTTTTCCGCTTTTTTTTGGAAATTTTCACAAAATCCATTCAGTTCTTTCCGTTTTTGTTCAAAATTTGCTTTTTGTTATTGTTGTCATCATTTTTTTTTATTCGGTTCAGCATGTTTGCCTTAAAGTTTATTGAACACAATGGTCCTGCTGTTATATCCCTCGAACTTGTTTGTGTTTGGCCTGGCTTAGTTGGTGCACTTGGGTGGGTGTGTGCGATTTTACAAAGGTTTGAAAGGGAAAGGTCTTGTTGTTGGTTTGCTGCACCATATGCACGGTCTGAATGTGTATGCATGTATGTCAAGTGTGGGAGAAACAACAATGAAAATTGATTACAAGGTCGAAAGTGCATCATATTGTATTGAATGAATGAATGAGGGAAGGATGAATAAAGCGTTGTGGTTTATCAATGGAAACAGGTTTCGATTTCCATTATTTGTTTTAAATTTAGTTGAAAATTTATTTCACAACTTTTTCAATGCATATTTGAGAAGGCATACGATCGGGGGGAGTCGAATTGACGAATTGAAGGGAATTGAAGAGAACTTCTATAGACGAATCGAAGGGAGTCTATAAACGAATCGAAGGGAGTCTCTATAGCCGAATCGAAGGGAGTCTCTATAGACGAGCCGAAGAGAGTCTCTATATACGAGCCGTAGAGAGTCTCTGTATGCGAGCCAAAGAGAGTCTCTTTATGCGAGCCGAAGAGAGTCTCTATACGAGCCGAAGGAAACATCTATAGACGAATCAAAGCGAATCTCAATTGATGAGTAGGAGGGAGTCTTTACTGTCGATTTAGAGGAAGTCTCCATGGACGAGTGTAAAAAGTCCCAAAAAGACAGAATACGTTTTTTATAGATTTTTAGGAGACCCAAAAATGACAACTATTCAGAATGTTTCCATATTTTTAGGTGACCTTAAAGAGGAGAAACATCGAAAATTGTATTCAATATTTTGTGGAGGTCTCAGAGAGCACAAATATCTAGGATTTTTTTCAAAATTTCTTAAAGGGCTGAAGGAGGACAAGAATCCAAATATTTTCAATATTTTCGGTGAAACAAAGAGGACAAATATCGAGGATTTTTCCATTATTTTAAGGGGGCAGCAAAAATTATAAATTTTTCAAAAATTTATGTGTTTGATTTCTCTTTCGAGACGAGCTTAATGATCTGAAATTTGCAGTGAAAAGGAAAGCCAGATAGACACTATCACACACTCACCACTATGCGACGCGTTTCGCCGTTGGTTACGCGGCTCATCAGGCATATTTGGTGTGGATGATGGCTTACAAGGGCCGTTCTCTGGAAAGTAGTATATATTTCGAACTTATTGCAAATTAGCATATGCGAATTATACACTAGAAACTCTCCAGGTTCGACTCTAGTTCTATTGGCAGATCTTTTCTGGAGAGTTTCTAGTGTATAATTCGCATATGCTAATTTGCAATAAGTTCGAAATATATACTACTTTCCAGAGAACGGCCCTTGTAAGCCATCATCCACACCAAATATGCCTGATGAGCCGCGTAACCAACGGCGAAACGCGTCGCATAGTGGTGAGTGTGTGATAGTGTCTATCTGGCTTTCCTTTTCACTGCAAATTTCAGATCATTAAGCTCGTCTCGAAAGAGAAATCAAACACATAAATCATAAAACATATGATCTTCGCTTTAATAAGGCAAAACTCAAAAATTTTAAATTTTTTAGTGGCTTCAAAAAGGCCTTTAGGAGGCCCTAAATAGGACATTTTTTTAACATTTTCCGGAGCTCCCAAAGAAGGCAAATATTGAGGGTTTGTGCAATATATTTAGGAGACCAAAAGAAGGTCCATTATCGAGAATTTGTCCAATTCTTTTTCAATAAACTTGATGGCTCCAAAAAAGGCGAATGTTCCCAATATTTTTAGAAAGATCCCGAGGGTACAAATATCAACGATTTTTTTTTTTCAATATTTTCAGGAAATGTGTCGAGAATTGTTCAATATTTTTAGAAGTCGCTAAAAGGAACACAATTTGAGATTTTTTTTTTTTTTTTTTTTCAATTTGTACAAAACTTAGATCTCCACATAAATCTATGATTTTTTTCAATACTTTTTAGGAGGCTCCAAAAGGAACAAATGTCAAGGATTTTTTGAAGATTTTTTTGGATGCTTCAAATAGAACGCATGAAGAGAATTTTCCTCATATTTTTTGTGGTCCCAAAAGGGGACAATTACGGAGGATATTTTAAAGATCAAAGAAGAGTAATATCCGGGATTATTGAATCTTTTTATGACTCCTTTAGAGGACAAAGATCATCAATGGGAACGTCAATATGAAGATCCTAAATGGGAGACAAGGATTTCTCCAAAATTTTTATGGAGCACCAAAGAGTACAGAAATCGATTTTTCGACATTTTGACGAGCCTCTAAAGGGAACAAATTTCGAGGGTTTTTTTTAAGATTATGGGAAGGCTCTAAAAAGTACAGTCGAGTTTACTTTGGGAGACAAGGATTTCTCCAATATTTTTATGGAGCACCAAAGAGTACAGAAATCGAGTTTTTATTTAAAATTTTTAAGAGACCCTAAGGAGGACAAGCAGGGAGGATTTTTTCGACATTTTGACGAGCCTCCAAAGGGATCAAATTTCGAAGGTTTATTTAAGATGATGGGAAGGCTCTAAAAAGTACACGAGAGTTTGTTTTTTAAACATTTTTAGGAGGCCAAGAAGAAGACTAGAAAAGACCCCAAATATCGAAAAAAATGTTCAATATTTTGGGTGATCCCAAAAGGTGACAAACATCGTGGATTTATAACAGACTTTTAAAAGGGCTTCAAACAGGACAAATGTCTACGATTTTCGAATATTTGTATAAGGACCAACGAGGACAAATAACAGGGATTTTTTCAATATTTTAATTTTTATATTAGAAGAACAACTATTGAAAATTTTTCAACTATTTTAAGAGATGGCCAGCGCTTGAGTTCTGGTGGTCAACCGAAGGTCCACATTTTCGGCTGACCTCTTTGGCAAGTAAACACGATCATTTTGTTTGTTTACAAACTGCTGGACAACGAATGTTTTCTCATCGGAGAAAACCAAATTCGGCAGTTCACTTTCGGCCAAGCGAAGCAACTCCTTAGCTCTTTTGAGTCTATTTTTTTCTGTTGCGGTGTAAGTTCTTACATTTTTTGGAATTTTAATGGCTTTATCCAGAGCTCATTTTTCAATATTTGCCGAATGGAATATTGCGATATGTTCAGCTCACGAGCCATTTTTCGGCCACTGCGACGCGGGTTTCGGTCAAGTCGCATCTTTACTTTTCGAACCATTTCTGCTGATGTTGCTGTTTTCTTCCGTCCACTTCCTTGACGTCGGGCTACGCTACGAGACACAAAAGATTTATTCACATTTAAATGCTGGAGTGCTCTAACGATAGCCACTTGTGGTTTTCCAGCCATATCACGCTTGAATGGCATCACGAATAATTTTTTTTTTTGGAAAATTCTCAACAAAATGCTTTTGTACGCTGGTAAAACAAATAATGTCACTGGAATAATTTTAAAAGCTGTCGGACGAGTGGCTTGGAAATGATAGCAGTTTGAAGTTGGTTGCAGTTTTTTCATCTCACCCTGTATTTTGGATATCATAAAGAATACAAATATACATACAGGACTTTTTAAGATGACCAAAGAGGACAATAAACTAGGATTTTCGAACATTCACAGGAGGCCACAGAAAGGACAATTAACGCAGAGTTTCGAAGAAGTTTAGGAGGCTCCAAGCAATTCATAAAAATTGGATTTTTTGAGACTTCAAGGAGGACAATCAATGTAAATTATATTTAATATTGTTTGAAGATCCCCAGTAGGATAATAAACGCAAAATTTTATAGATTTTAATAATATCAAAAAAAAAAAACAAAAAATGTAAAAGACTCCAATACAATAGGAGGCCTAAGCAACAAAAAACAATTTTTCAAGATTTTTTAGGGGATCCAAAGAGGACAAGTGTTTCCATTTAAAGTTCTTAAAATCCGATTTTTTTTAATATTTTATGGTAATTTTAGATAAAATATTTTGAATAAAAAAGTGTATTATTTTATTTCAATCACTAAAGACAATAATATAATTGTTCATATAATTTAGTACCAAAAATATTATAAAATGCATAAACTAATGGTCTATGCAGCCTATGCTTTGATTTCCCCCATATTAATATTATATTCACTATAATAATATCAATAAATAAACAAATAAAAAAAATATAATAAAAATTTACTAACCTTTATTATTCCAATTTCCTCCGAAACAACCCGTTTGATTCACCACAAATTCGTTCCTTTTGATTTACCCCTTACAAGGGGTTGCTGGCTCTTATTTGTTGTTTTTATTGCACTCTAGAGATTATTTTCTGTAACACTTTTATTGTTGATATTTTCACATATACATATGTATAAACATAAATTGTAATGGATGGATGGATGTAAGAAGTTGTATTTTCGTTTTCACGATAAAAAAGGAACTCAAACAAAACACGATTTCGAAAACCAAATTCGTATAAAAAATATCGGTGATGTAAACACACACGGATTTTGGGTGGGCGGATTTTTTTTTTTTTTGCAATTTTTTAAATTTTTTTGATGTTCTTTGATGTAGGTTACGACGTCAGTCGGATGCTGCACAGGAAATCCTGCTGCTATAGCTGGCTGCAGCCGGCTCTCTTTGCAAATGTGAGACTTTAAAAGTTCTCTGTTTTGTTGTGGGCTTTTACAGCAAAACTTTTGGGAACTAAAAGGGGGAAGGTTGACATTTAAATATGTTTTAATTTTTATTTTTTTTTTAATTCATTTTTAATTTGTTGGCAATTGATATCAGTTGGAGCTTTTTTTGAGTAATAAACCCTTTTGTAGATAACAGTTATGATATTTGGTTTAGGTTATGTAGCTAAACCCCTGGGGCCTACACAGAAATATCAGTTTTAAGGCAAAAAAAGATATTCTCTCCTCGGGCAACCTTAAATTCCTAAATTCACTGCAAATTTCAGATAGTAAACATTTTTCGAAAAAAAATAACGCCATTTTAAATTGTTGCTTCATGTCTGTAGTATCGAAAACAAAGAAGTATCCTTGAATACAACCCCCAATACCAGTTTTCAATACTTGAATTCCTTAAAACAACATACATTTCTTATGCGGGTGCCGTGTTCTAAAATGGCCAGACATACCTTTTTCTTCCAAGCGTTTTTTGAAAATGAGAATGAAAAGATCATTGAAAATGCTTTTAGATCACGTACCTATGTTTTTCAAGCTTTTGGACCTACTGGCAATAATCGGTTTCAAAATATCAGCTCTCGCCAGCGTCCCAGAAGTAAAATTGTTTTGGGCCCGGTAACCAGGAACAAATAGGCGCACGTCTATTAACTCTGCATTTTTGTAGTGGGCTCCAAATATGCTTCTAGATTACTCTCCTACTTTTTTTTCAATAATAATTTCCCAATCCCATAAAAAATAATTTTTAAATAGAAATTTGAAATGCAATTTCGGAAAGAGGATCAAAAATGCTTCTAGACCGAGGTATTAGATATTACAATACTATATTGGCTTGCCAACAAGAATCGATTTTAATTTTGTATTTATTGGCCGAGAATACGGAACGAAATTAGTCTAAGGTCAATGCCCAGGTACAGCCAGATGTCCCTCAATGAGTCACCACTTTGGCAAAGATCATTAAAAATGCCTCTCGCCCACATGCCTAGATATGACAAAAATATGTTCCAATTTTTGCCAATTATTACTTTGAAAGTGCAATTTTTTTTTGGGTTGGCGTCAAATTCGCAGAGAATGCCAGACACCTTCAGGAATATATTTTTGGTGTTGTAATCTGCACATATGTTTGGAGCACCTGATTAGATGCCAAATCCAAAAATGTAAATTAAATGTAAATTTTGTTGGGTTGGCGAGTCTTAAGTCCACAATCTCGGAAAGGAAGCCTCTCATCAGAAAAGAAAATAACATTGAAATAAGGACTTAAAATATAGTTGAAGTCAGGACTTTCTAGATTGTTTCTGTCTTGAAATAAGGATTTTACAGATACAGGTACCTCTCAGGCAGTGCCAAGTCTATTCATTTTATCCGCATTTAAGTTTTGAGTAATATTTCAATACACAAAACTTCTCAAAATCCACTATATTTCTGTGCGACAGCTTGGCCAGGAATATACCTATTTTTTTGCAATTTTTGCCATTATAAATGTTTTGCAAAAGCCTTTTCCTGTCAGGAATGCACACACACCCTCGCATCTGTCTAGAAAATACAATTAAAGCGAAATAATTTCAAAAAATAATTTATCACAAATACCTACGTTCACTTCTCGCCTGCGAGGAAGGCAAATTGGTCTCCTACGTTTCAATTCCCCATCAAATAATTTATCAAAGAACTTGTACCGAATTGTCTTCTACTTTTTGATATACCAGAAATAATTCCTCCCCATCTGCAATATTGTAAAATTAGTCAATTCAAAACCGCAGCTGTTTGTATTAAAACAAGAATGAATTCCTTTGCCTATTCAAAACAAATAAATAATGAATGCATCATCATCATCATCACCGTTAACTACACTCATCAGCAACAACAACAACTCAACGAGAAATATGTAAGTGAAGAGAGAGTTTGTTTGTATATGCCGGGGACTTTGTTATCACAAACCAACAATAACAACAATGACGACTACGACGGCGGATGACAGATGTAGGCATTTCTATTTGTGTTTTTTCTTCATGTTTTGTTTTCTCATAAAGTTATCACCACCAGGCACATTCTTTCGCAAAAGGCGTGAAAGCGTGGGTGGAAGAGTCAAAAAGTGTAACCAAACCCAACAATTGAGTACTATCACTTTAAATTATTTCACTTGAAGGGAATGAAGAAATTCTACTCCTACGATTTCATATGTCTTATGCTATTTCTAAAGAATAATAATTTAACAACAGCCAAAAAACGCTCTGAACCTCAAACGGCAATATAAAACATTGCACTTTCATATATTTTCAGTGTTTGGTTTTGCTTTCATGCAAACTATTGTTGTTGTTTTATTTAATATTCCTTCGCAGCCAAAAAAAAAGAAACATGAAGCAAAGCAGCCGCACACACGCACGCACGCCACTGAATAAGCCAACAGATACTTTTATTGAATTTTCCACTAATAATTTTCCATTTGATTTCCTTTAATTCTTTTGATTTTGCATAACTTTTAAGCAAAACAAATACAATTTTTTCTTTCTTACAAATTCAATCACTTTTTCTATTCATTTTATTCCTCTTTTTTACTTCTTTTATGTATAAAAAATATAATTTATTTTTCACTTTTTTTAGAGATACAGCACAAGCAAGCAAATTGCTATTTTTTCACAATTCACTAATTCGAGAACAGCAACGGCGACAGATGACGACGTCCGTTTACACAACCACCCGCTTTAAATTTCGTCCGTATTCTGAGTAAAAAAGACGAAAACAGTCGTTGTTGTAAACAATGGCAACGCCAGGCAGGTTGGCAACGAAGCAGAGTAGTATTGTTTTCTTTCATTCTCTCTCATTCGCAAAATGTTTTCTCTCAAAATTTTGGTTTTTGTTTTGATTCCCGCTTCGTAAGAGCAACAATTTTATTGTTGTCCAAGTTTAACAGGGTGTTTACAAAGTGTTTGTAATATTATTCTTAACGGCGTTAGAAGTTATGATAGCGGCATTGACGAGATAGTTTTCCTTCTTCTTCTTCATTTTAATGAAGTAACGCTACTTTTATATTTGATTTGTTCCAGAGCCTTTATTTCACATGTCAAAGGTCATGTCGAAATTGGACTAAGCGGATGGACCATTTAAGGCGCCGTCAACATATTAAATTATATGGAACGTACTATCATTTCAAATAAAGATTTATTGCCTTTTTCTATTTTTTTTAATATTCCTATAATTCTCAAAAAAGCACCCTTTAGATTGACAGAAACACACTCTTTTCAATAATCGTTCAATCGAACTAGTTTGTTCGTAAACCACACAACACTAGTTTTCAGGAGATTCTCAACAGCTGTTGCGGCACGTTGCCTCTTCCCACTTTCTATACATTGTTGGTTTTCAGCGTGTTGCCTCTTGCTTGTGAATGGAAACAACTCTCTGAGAAGTATTGTCCGATAGTCGGCAATATCGTCAGATAATATCGATATAAAAACTATCAATCGATATTCCCTTATAAATTATCCATCGATTATTTGCCATCTCTTGTTTTCAAGTGATTCTAGAGATTGTCAAAGGAAAGAGGATTCGTTGGGTTGTGTGGATTGTTGTGAAATTGTTCAATATTGGAAGCGAATAAATCAATATTGGAAATATAAAGCTAATCTAAACTCATTGCAATAGTAAATTTACGGAAATGTTACGTTTAATAAATCCAAAAGCTGTTAAAGCCGCAATTGGTCTCAACAGACAATGGGTTGCGTGTATCAGTCAGTCGGCCACAGTAGGACAGCAAAGCGAGGCAGCCGTTTCTTCTTCCGAACGTATGATTTGAAAATAATGTTAAAAAAGGCAAAATGCATTATTATTTGCCTTAAATATCCTTGTTATTATCTCCCTTTGTTGAGGTTATGTAAACATTGTTGTTTCATCTTCCCTTTGCAGAATTTCGACAGAAACGCATTAAGCTCAATATCAAATCAGACAATGTAGAGGGTCGCCCACTGTATTTGGATGCCCAGGCCACAACACCTTTGGTGAGTATTGAAATATGCCAAGAAGTACGTTACCGTTATTGTTTCTTATAGGATTTTCGTGTTCTGGATTCTATGCTACCTTATTTGACCAACTATTATGGTAATCCACATTCTCGCACCCATGCTTATGGCTGGGAAACAGAACAGGCTGTCGAAAAAGCACGTGAACAGGTTGCTGCCATTATTGGTGCTGAGCCCAAGGAAATCATTTTCACATCTGGTGCCACAGAATCGAATAACATTGCTGTTAAAGGTGTAGCAAGGTAAAGGCAAAACGAAGAAGAAGAAGATGAACATCTCGATAGGGTCTCGTTTGTTACATTTTCTGGCAGTTAAAAAAGGTTCTCTGTCTGCAGTGATGTTATTACTAGGATGTTTGGTATTGAAATCCGTTTAGGATTTTTAACCAAACTAGCTATAGATTGATATTTCGAGTTTTCAAAATGTATTTTAGATCTTGGTTGTACGTCTGTATGTCCGTCTGTTGAAACCACGATAGAGTTCACACTATTGACGATGGAGATTTAAAATTTTGAACAAGCATTGATATTGTTGCTAGGATTGGTATATTTCCTATATAACGTCTTCTCCAGAATTTCGAGATTTTGAAGATATTCAAGTTCTAGTTTTCACATCATAGAGCCCAATCTTACGTCGTTTTTTATTTTTTTTTTTTTTAGATTTTATGGTTCCAAGAAAAAACATGTCATCACAACACAGACCGAACACAAATGCGTTTTGGATTCCTGCCGTGCACTGGAGAACGAAGGCTTTCGCGTAACATATTTGCCTGTTCAAGCAAATGGTATTATCGACATGAAACAACTGGAGGAAGCAATTACACCAGACACCTCATTGGTATCCATAATGACAGTCAACAATGAAATTGGTAAGATTCATCTGGAACTAAATTTTTTTGAAATTAGGTAATTTGGTTTTCCCCTTCAGGTGTAAAACAACCCATTTCTGATATTGGAGCTCTGTGCCGTTCCAAAAAAGTCTTCTTCCACACCGATGCCGCCCAGGCTGTGGGTAAAATACCACTCGATGTCAATTCCATGAACATTGATTTAATGTCAATTTCCGGCCACAAGATCTATGGTCCCAAGGGCGTTGGGGCTTTGTATGTACGCAGACGACCACGTGTACGTTTGGAACCCATTCAAAGTGGTGGTGGCCAAGAAAGAGGTCTGCGTAGTGGTACCGTACCGGCCCCATTGGTCGTGGGCTTGGGTGCAGCCGCTGAATTGGCACAAAAAGAAATGGAATACGATACAAAATGGATAAATTTCCTATCGAAACGTCTGTTGGATCGAATAACAACAGCATTGCCACATGTTATACGTAACGGAGATCCCGAACAAACCTATAATGGTTGTCTAAATCTCTCGTTTGCCTATGTTGAAGGTGAATCATTGTTGATGGCTTTAAAGGATGTAGCTTTATCGTCGGGATCAGCATGTACCTCAGCCTCTTTGGAACCCTCTTATGTATTGCGCGCTATTGGTACCGAGGAAGATTTGGCACACAGTTCAATAAGGTAAGCTTGAATGAGAATCAAGGGCCAGATGACATGGCTGAAACTAGAATCTTGAAATTTTGCACAAGGGTCTGTCTTAGTGCGTAGGCGTGTTATTACGAATAAGAATTTTAGAATTTCGTACTAAAACGGTACGAAACGTACTAAAAAATTCGTTTTTGGAAATTCGAACTTTAAAGTTACGAAAAGTCCTAATATGGTACCATTTGATATTATGTGTACAGATAGAGCTAAAAACTTGAGTATGAGAATCAAGGTTAGAGAGTATGTTTTTGATATATGAAGTTGATTTTGGAAATGTGTACTAAGTGTGCGAACTGTACTAAATGGTACATATTTTGGAACAGTTTGGTTTAGTGTAAACGGATGAAGCTGTAATTTTAAAATTTTGTATTGGGGTCCCTTTTGGTAATAGGTTTGTGATAAAGAGTTGGTTTTGGAAACGTGTACTACAAGTGCACGAAAAGTACTAAATTGTACTATATTTTGTATTTTGTATGGTGTGAACAGACAGTGCTTTAAATCTGAAATTTGTTATTAGGCTGGCTGTTTATGTGTAGCCTGGACAAATGGAGGTGGTTTCGGATAAGAGTACTGTTAATGTTCGAAAAGTACTCACTGGTACCAAATCTATTATTGGTGTAGAGATAAAATTCTGAAATTTGATATTTCGATAACTATTGGTTTCTGAGGTTCAGATTTGGAGTTGGCTTTGTAAATGGATACTATATTTATACTAAAAGTACGAAATAATATTTAATTGAGATGAGATTTAAGATTTAGAGGTGGTTGAGAAATTACGTCCTATTTTTGTACGTAAAGTACTAAATTTGGTATTGGGTGTTGAGATAGGGCTGGAATACTTAAATTTGATATTGAGGTCTCTGTAGGTATTTGAAATTGCGATATGAATGTGGTTTTGGAAGTGTTTCATATATTTGTACAAAAAGTGCCAAATGGTGCTACATTTGATCTTCGTTCAAGGGATAGAGATACTAATCTGAACTTTGATATTTCGATAATTATTGGTTTCTGAAGTTCAGATTTGAAAAAGGGTTCTATAATTGTCCAAAAAGTACTGAATTTGGTATTGGTTGATAAAAAAGGCCTAACGCGAACTGTTGGAACGAATCTATAATTTTAAGGTGAACTTTTCGCTGATTTGGTATTGGTTGATAAAAAAGGCCTAACGCGAACTGTTGGAACGAATCTATAATTTTAAGGTGGACTTTTCGCTGATTTGCGGCTAGTAAAGGAACTACTGATTTTCAATTCTTGTACCCTAAAAATTTCAAAAGTAAGTTTTCAAAAAGGCCAAAAACGTTATTTTAAATTTTATAACAAAAACGTTTTTGGATTTCATTTTCCTCTCGGGTGGCTATGTCGTTGAAAAAACTTTGTTTTTCATGTCTACATATTTCGGAAAAACAAATGCTTTTAGAGGGACCTCGCGCAAGAAGAAGTACCTACGATTCAGAACTAGCCATTTTATTCGATTCCATTGTTCTTACCATTTCCATCCTTTCCCCAACCAGGACTAATTTGAACCCTTTTTTACTAAAAAATATTGATGCTTTTTATTTTCAGATTTGGCATTGGCCGCTTTACAACCATTGAAGAGGTCGACTATACAGCAGACAAGTGTATACAACATGTCGAAAGATTGCGTGAAATGTCTCCGCTGTGGGAAATGGTACAAGAGGGTATTGATTTGAAAAATATCCAATGGTCACAGCATTAATTACCTTTCCATGCCATCATGAAGAAAATTATCTTTGGGATGATTGTTGTTATATACGAAATGACTGCTTTGTATAAACTAAAATATCGATAAATAGTAACACCATTTTGTAGACTTTAGAAATACCTATTATCCGTTTGCCTTTGAAAGGCTCTTACACTTGTTTTCTTTCAAATTTATTATTTTATTAGTTATCTTTATTCTCCCCCTTATTGTAATTTAAAAATATCTTTTAAGCACAGAATATATATTGTATATGCAATAAAAAACGAGATTCAAGACAATATAAAAATTGTATTAAATTTATTTTTATTGGCAAATTGATTGATTCTTCATTTTAAAATGTGCTAAACAAAATGAACGGCCACGAGTCCACCCAATCCATGATGGGGGGCAATAAAAAAATCTTATCTAATAATTTACACCTACTAAATACCCCCAAACAAGATAAGCTAATTGAAACAATTGGGCATTTTTTTGGCTTTCATTTTCATTTTGGATATGTGAAAATGTTTCGTTTATTTTATACAATAATGTCCGTTGTACCATTAAATATTTCTTAACTTATGTATCTTAAAACAATACAAAAATAATGACAAGCCTAAATGGAAATGTTACAGGTTAAAAGATCGTCTTTATATACATAAATATGTAGCTAATACATATGGATAAGAGAGGCAAAATATTTACTAAATTCAAATTAAGACACACAACAAAACAAAAGTGGCTAGTAAGGTATACCATATAAGCAAGAAAAACGAAAATGACCGTCTCTTCGTTTGATCGACTAACGAAATTTCAATAATTTACTTTTTCCATTGTATAATTATGAAGACACAAAATGAAACGAATGTGTGCGGCAATATGTGTGTGCGTGAAAGTGAACTAAAAGAAGTCGAATATCACCTCTTTTTGTCTGTTCATTCAAATGCATTTCGCAAATTCAAAGGTCAATTTCCATTTATGAAGGTTGATGATCAGTTTTTGTTAAACAGGTTTTGAAATAATATTTTTTTCAACATGTATGTATGTGTGTCACGATGTCACGGCTAGCTAGCTTAACTCTCATTCAAATTTCGACAACCTCTATTCCCGTAAATTTTTTTTCAAATATGGAAAAATGCACTCAATTTAGTGTGTCTTTTTGGCAGCAGCTTTTTTACTATCACCTCCTCCGAGCATCTTACGGCGTTGGGCAAACATATGCAAATAGAGTTGTGGGAACAGAGGAATGTAGCCCAACATCACAATCCACAACAGGGCAAAGTAGGAGAATGTCATATTGTAAATATTTGGCATTTCAATGGACCACACGGTATTCGATTTGGCATAACTTTGAGCCCACCAGAAACACAACAACTCACCAGTCACACCAATAGGATAGAGGGCAATGAAGGTGGTGTAGCGCAGGAATACCAAAATGTGCGGCACAAACTTGACAATATTCAGAGCATAGTAACCGTATCTGATTATCTCCGTAACGGACCATGCAAACAGGGCAATGGGCAGGCCAGGTGATACCTTAGCAGTAGGCGTGGCCATAACAACACCAACAACAACCATCATACGACTGAATACCTGGAACAGCGTTAGGACGGGGTTCGATTTCACCAAACCAAAGGCAGCATTTAAAATTTCCACAAAAGCAGCATTTTGGAAAATGATCACAGACACACGGGTATAGTCCCACAATGTAATGCTATTTCTGAATTCCGGACCTTGGAGCAAATAGTAATTGACCAATTGATACAGTATATAACTCCAGCCAACCACCTGTGCCGCATTGTAAATAAATAGATACCCCTTCACTGCTCCGCTTTGTTCTTTGGCCGCTGAAGCTGCTTTTCCGGATTTAGGTGCTGCCATGATGACTTTATCTTTACTTCTGCCGATAGAGACTAAACTAATGCTTGTTGTGATCAGTGGCTATATGTTATAGATTGATTTCGATACGGGGCTAAAGGGTTTATGGCACTTTCTCTCTGCCTGGCTGCTTCTTCTTGCACAACAGTAAGGGATTCATAGATCGACTTTGGATTAAGAGATTGGCTTTTATTTGTTACCGGCGATGCCAGAGCTGGGAATTTACATATTGGGGAAATTTTACGATTGGAATTTAAAGAGTTGTAGGAAAGTTAAAAACATATTTGGCCAAAGCTGTACTATGTCGCAAGCGCGATAATTTTTCTGAACAGATCACGCAGTTTTATACTAAAATACAATAATTTGCAGGGATTTTTTTTGCCTGTAAGGCGATTTAAATTATGGACCAAACTGAAGATGTTTTAAAATGAATCAAATGAGTTCTTTAGATTAGATTCACCAAAAAAAGTAGGTAAAATACAACCCTCAATTTGGATGTTATATGCCTGCTAGAATTATAATTGTAAAACTGTGCAATCATTGCTCTATTAAGCTGCAAGAAGCTAAAACTTTAACATTTTTTTTATGACATCGCAATAATAGCACAAATTAGAACTAGTTTCGAGGTTTTGGAGCACAATCCACAATGACAACATATCATTGTCAAATTGCTTCTTCACAAATCCATTATGTGCCAAAAAAATTAAACATTTTTTCAATGTGGTTAAATTTGGTAAGGAAAATTCACATATTTTGTTAACAAAAAATGTTTGGATTTTTTTACGAAAATTAAAATTAACTAATTTTCTCAACGAAATTGGATGCGTCAAATAAAATAAACATTCCCAGCTCTGCATTTTCTGTAATTTATTTTGTCAAATTACACGGCAAAGAAAGCAGGTTCGCATCTCTGATTTGTGTGTATACAATGGATTTATGAATATACATTTTGACAATGAGACGTTGTCAAGGAATAATTAAAAAAAATGTAAACATATGATTGCACGGCTTTACCATCTTAATTCTACCATGAGCAAAACAGATCAAAGCTTAAATCGTGTAAAAATACAACACTATTGCCCTTTTTGTCTGAACGAAACGCTGAAGTCACGATTCAAGCTTTGATCTGTATTAGCTTATATTTCTTTGTGCCTTTTTTAATTTGACTTCTACAAAGCGAGAGAATTGCAGAGGTATTATATATTTGGCAACAATTGTTAGGGAACATTATTCGAGTAAAATATTCGAGAACTGAGCTATTCTTTCACTTAAAGCAACGAAGATAGTAAAGCTAACCACTGACAAAACAAAAACAGTGTAAACGTGCCCCATTTTTGAAGCAACTCCCATTTTTTCATTTTCTCTATTCCGTAAGGTAATTACGAAAAACTTCGTATCTAAGTGTGCCGTTTCACTAACCACCACACATTTGACAGATCTGGCAACACCCGGTTACCAAGGAAGTGTCCAGAAAACGCCAAAACACAAGCCGAAGAAGAAGAGCAAACCAATCTTTTATAAATTCATGGACAAAACATTAATGTTTGGTAATAAAAATACAAATAATTGTAGAAAATGAACAATAACAAAGAGTCCGACTTGGAATTTGTGAAATTGGTCGAAAGCTATCCAATTCTCTATGCCAAAGAGCATACACGCGGCAACAAGAATTCAACGCTGAAAAGTGACGTTTGGCGAGAAATAGCTCAGCGTGTAAAGAAGTCAGAGATAGCCTGCATCACTAGATGGAAGTCGATACGAGATCGATTTGGCAAAGAATTTAGGCGCCAACAACAGAATCCACAAGATGTTACCAATTGGGAGCTGTTTCCACATTTGTGGTTTCTCAAGGATCACTATAAGCAAGGGTAAGCGCTAAATAATCAATCCTAACTGTTTGAATTTATTATAATTCGAATTTTTATTCCCACCCCCTGGGCCAGAAGTGCGTGCAACAATGACATTGAGTGCATAAAGTACGAACCAAAAATAAAGAAACGTAAAATACACAGACCGGAGGAAGATGAAGATTCGGGAGAAAATAGTGATACAAAAATATCACCAGAAGAGCTGGCTTTGAATCAAAACATCATTGCCTTGGTTAAAGAACATGATGTTTTGTATGATCGCAAGCGGGTGCGGGACTCAAAGAATTTGACAGCCAAAAATGAGGCATGGACAAATATAGCAAATGCCCTTGGTATATCAGGTAAGCTGTGAAAATAGACAGACAAAGTTGTTTACAATATTTGATTAAAATATTTTTTAGAGGAAATGTGTTACAACAAATGGAAAAAGTTGAGAGACCGTTTCTCACGTGAATACCGACAAGTACAGTTGAATCCCGACAAACCAATTACATGGATATATTTCAATGATTTGCGATTTCTGGAAAGTCACTACAGAAAAGGGCAAGTTCAAATATGAAATATGAGCCATAGATCTTAAAATATTGATTTATAATTTTCATTACAGTATCCCGCTTCCAATTGAAGAAATAAAACGCAAAGAAAGATTATCAGCAGCTTCTAAAGCAGCCAATCAATCCGCCACTGCAACCGCACAAGCAGAAAATCCTTGGGGAGATGACTTTAGTCATTCCTATTACTCGGATAACGAAGATCACGTAGAACATGAGCTGATAGCAGAAGAGACCGACATACAAGAACTGCAGGAGCAAACGTTTGATGAATTTTTGTTGCTGCCCAACAAAAAGGAAAGTAAACCAGGCACACCAAACCCGACAATGCAACACGTTACCTACCATGTGGCACAGGATGTAACCCCAACAAGTACAACCTATGTAACCACAACAAATGCTGCACACACAGCAGAGAATAGTCCGCATCTGGATGCTGAAGATAAACTGCATAATGTCATTTCAAATATGGAAAATGTTTTACGACAATCACAGGATTGTCTAAAAGCTATACAAAACCAAAAGGCCCAATTTCGCTTTGAATTGGAACAACAACATCTCAGCATGCAACCTGAAATGCTACAAAAAGTCCATATATTACTGGATGGTCTCCATCCGGAGCAGAAGGCCAAGGCCGAACGTAAAATTTTACAATTTTTATGTGAATGCCAAATTAAGATCTTAAATAATGAGGAAATCGCTGATGTTGCTCCCGTGAATATATATTGACGATAAATTGCTTAGGTTTTATTTATACTAAAAAACGGATAGAATGAAGAGGTTATGTTATTGTACGTATGTATGCTTTTATAATAATTATTATTTTTCTCTATATAATTTTAATAATACTAATGTTAATATATGAAGAAATACATATTACGTATAAGAAACATTAATTCTATAGGGAATAAAAACGTGAAAAAAACTGAATATTTTGCTTGTAAGAGTGGTCTTTTAGCGGGGATATCGTGGGGAATATTCAATGCAATTTTATCAAAGCTTGGGAGCATTGAAATGTCTAAATTTCTTAAATGTTTTTTCAAAGATAAGTAGCTTTGTATAAGTTTACCTACACGATGACAATCTTAGGTTCTTATGCATTTTTTAAGAATTTTTACAAAATGTAAATAATTTTTTATTCAAAAATTTCAATTCCAAAATTGGTTTGACAGTTCATTGTCCCAGCAGCTGTGTCGATGTATTCTTTTACCATGCTAGTTTTTATGCAGTGAAATTTGATAAGGTAAATTAGAGAAAATGCAGAGATGGGTATGCATATGAATGAATTTACCTTCGTAATTTGACATTGACAGATTCTTGCAGGTTCCGGAACATGTTATACAATCATATGTTCAAAATTTTTTCAAAAAATATTCATTTGACAACATCACATTGTCAAAATTTGTAGGTATGAATCCATTGCACATACACAAATCAGAAATGGGAACCTTTTTTTATGTAGTGAAATATCCATATTAAAATAAAGGAGTTAAAGTCATTTAAAACAAGCCCATCTTTGCACTTTCTGTAATTTACCTTGTCTAATTTCACTGCTTAGAAAACAGGTTTCCATCTCTGATATATGTATGTACAGTGGATTTATAAGTATATAATTCGATAATAATATTTTGTCAAAGAAACAATTTTTAAAAATTTTTTAATATATTTCTCGACTTAACGTTCTTAATACTTCCAAGTATAAAAAAGCTAATCATATTGCTATGAATTACGAATAGTGTCGCTAATTTTTTAACCTAATTTAGAGAACAACATGATTCCAATTGCATTGAATGCATGGTATAAGAACGAAAAATGTAGTTCAAATGCCAATAGGAACATGGCATCAGCGCTTGTACATTTTGACATGTCAAAAATTGTAAAAAGCTTATGAAAAAGTAAGTAAATTATTTAATTTAGTTTTATATATAACGCCATTGATTGAGGATGACAGAATATGCGTTTATCAATCATTTTAACGAATTTACCTGTATTATTGTATCAAGTGACCTATCGAGATTATCACTTGGAGGGACGGATTTTTTTTCTGGCATAGCATTTATAAAAATGGGCTTTATAAATCATTCATATATTATCCATTAAACAATTGTGTTGGTCCATGTAAATTGTATAACATACAGTTTTATCGAACAAACACACTTAAAATCGTCGAAGCCACATCGATTAGTTCGTCTAAAAGATTGAGCTATCGAAAATGACAACATATCGATTAGTCAAAAAATGAACTTATAGACCCCTTATTGTGACAATTTTCTCGGTGATATTTGTGGGAAGATTTTTTTAGAAGGAATTGTCAAATTTACTGTACAAAAAAATAATTGAAAATCAAAATTTACATTAAAGGAATTGGAATTAGTTCTTTGGCTTTGGCTAACAAGAAACGAAGGTGTTTGAAACATTGACGGGAGCGAGCAGCAGAAGATTTGGAAAAAAAGAAAAAAAAGTGCGTCTTTGTATAAGTGTGTGCGTGTAAATGTGAATGACAAGAAGAGGTCCGATATCGGTGTGTGCAAAAGTGCTGGAATTTCAATTTAAGGCAAAAAGCCGACATCAGCAGCAGCAGAAGAAGCATTGAAGAGGTGTATAAAATCACAAGACAGACAAACCTAAAAAAACTATATTAACAAAAAGGAAGAAAATACAACAAATACATGCTTGGCGTTGGTGGCTGCTACAACACTTGCCAGTGAATGTTGCTAATGTTGATTCATTAATTTCGCCCCATCATAATTTCTTTTGGTGACAACAAAAAAAAAAACGTAATACATCTGAGTAACTCAAAGAGGGCGGGGTGTTGTTTTTTATATTGTAAAAAGAACGAAAAAAATAGTCAAGGAGGACCAGTTGACAGGAGAGAGATTTATTCCTTTTTGTGTTTATCAATCGTCATCACACTGCTGCTGCCCAGCCCGCTGTCTCCAAACATAAGCCGGCCAGCATTATTTATTATTGCCTTTTTTGAGAAAACAGAAAATTTCAATATTTTCCTTGGTGGCTATTTTTTGAAGTGAAATAATAAAAAAGCTATGATTTTGTTGGAAATCAATAATCGTATCGTCGAGGAGACGTTATTGGTGAAGTTCCGTAATGCCTTGGCCGGGTGAGTAATCAAGATTGATAAGGCGAAAACTTATCGTAATTCTTCATATTTATGTTATTTATATTTTTTGTGTTTGTGTTTAAATTCGGGTGTAGTTCTTTCTTTTGTTTGTTTGCTAGCAAAGGCATTAGCAGTAAATGCAGCGTTTTCAGAGTATGTGCGGGAGGGAATGGGGGGAGGGTTAATGCCGTCGGGGGTTGTGTTTTTAGTAGTGTGTGTTTTTTTATTTTATTTTCTTTTTATTTTTCACTCCTTGTTGTGCCTTTATTTTAATATGGAATTTCAAGTCCGAATCCTTGCCATTGATGGTGTCATATTGTCTTACAGGTTACAATCAAATTCTGTTTATTTCAATGTGGTTGTTTTATCTGATCGTTCAGTTTTTTAATATATTGAATATATGAGTAATCTTTCCTATACCGGGACATATTGATCCCGCCTACTCATGCAAAGCACCCTTACCCAAAATAGCTAAATACGGATTGAAATAAAATATATATTACGATGTGTAAAATCGCCTATAGGTACCCAGGTATTTTTAGCTATACTTTTGGATTTCTGTGCTTGCCATCCCATTAACCATGCCATCATCTAACGCCATTAGTTAATTTATTATGAATTTGTTTGTGCAATTTTATTAACAAAAAAATTTACAAACAGGAAAGTCCAATTACAACTAATCATAACTTTTTGGTTGCACACAAACTCAAAACTGTATCTTGTCTTTCAAAAAAGCCATGCTTTTTACATTGAACTTTTTCACACATGGTCGTGATGTATGTCCATATGTATGTTCATATGCACAAACTCAAGCTGCGTTACTGATGGCTTTGACACATAAAATGAATTGTGACGTTTTCCATTCTGCATTAAGATGACTAATAATACGAGATAAACTAATACAATATTGTTGTTTTGTATACAACGGCTTCGAACGGGCTATTGCACACTTCATTAAGCACGACTTGAGTAAATATTTGTATATTATAGGTAGGTCACCTATTTCATTTGCATTGACTATCTTCAATTTGTTACACTATTGTTATTTTTTAACTAATTTCAAATGTATCACTAATACAATTTTTTAAAGATCTTTTTGTGCGAGACAAATGTTTAAAAAGTTAATTTTCATTCTTTTTTCTTGAACATTTTTAAACGTGCGTTGAATGCTTCTCACATAAAATTTTTGAGCTTTATAAGATTAAATTTTCTGATTCATAGGCAGAATTTTGTATCTATAGATTAATATTAGCTGGCTTAACTCTAGTTTAGTAAAAACTTTTCAATTATTTTTGAAAATTTTACCCTGATTCCGGGAAACTCTTTTTTTTTTCTTGTGGGACGTACCCGGGAACCAGAATGAAGCGAATCAAAGTTTTCTAAATGTAATACTTTTGTAAAGGTATTAGTGGAAGGTACGAGTGTCAGCTATAATTTGATATCAATTTTTTTGGACCCATATAAATTGGCCCTTTTTTGACTTTTTGGGGTTTTTATAAAAAAATCGGGTCCAAGAACTCGATAATTTAATTATTACTTCCGAATCACTTCAAATAACCCATTCATGTGACCATTTTTATAAGATTTTCAACTATTCCTATATTGTCCATATCGGGTAAGTGGATCTGGTCCGGGTCTCCAAGAAACAAAATCAGGCTAAAAATACCTACCTCTGGAAAATATTTAAAAAAATTGAAATGTTTTTTTTTTGGTTCACGAATCTGTGGTCCCCGGTATTCTTTGTTGGGCTTACCTCACTCATTAGAGGCGGTTATATTTCACTATGAACATCAAATCATAAATTTCAAATCATTAAATCATAAAAATGAAGAGATTAAATTGGAGAACATAAATGAATTAAGGGCCTCTTACTTTCCAAGCCAAGTATACATTTTCGTCTTTGTTAGGTTTACGGTTTGGCAACAGATCTTATATTATTGGTAATAATAATTGATGATGGATTCATAGTCAGACGAAATTCATTTATTTGCAGAACTTGCCGTAAATTTTAGATTGTTCCTTCATATCTCTTTTTCCTATGTAAATTTCTTTAATAATTGGTTTTATGACTCTGCTTACTACCATTCCATGAATCCTATTCCATAAGATTGTAGGAAACCTTGCGCCTCCGAAGGAAGCTACAATAGTTAAGTGGGCATTTCGTATATTCGTGTCACTTTTACTAGAGTTATGTATTTAAATTCTTGTACGAAGGTTACAGGACCTACTGATACCTTAGTAATACATTATAATTTTTTAATAAAAACAAGCTGAAAATTTCAGCCCCACTCAGAGATCTAACAAATTTACTACAGTCTTTTCAAAATTTTAAAATTATTTTTATTTTTAAAAATTAATGATAAAAATATTTCTAAAAACTGCTTTTATTTTTTTGCATAAGATTTTAAAATGCTGGAATTAAAAGTGGGATATTTCCGATTTACCACAGATATGTCTCTCAAATATTCCAACACTAATCCATGCGGTGCTAAACAACAGTGAAATTGGAATTTATATTTCATTGCGTTTAGAATTGCATACATTCACATACCATTTTCAATTTTTGATTTTGATTTCGGTAATTTTTACAGAAGAAAAGAGATGTCAGTCTGAAATTACATTACATTTAACTTACATTCCCAATTGCAAATATCTTTGGTCTGCATTTGTAATTAGTAAGGACTTCACTCAATGTTTTCAGACTTTTCCATACCAAAAACGACCTTTGTGCAAAATACTACATCAATATTTCTAGTTATTTTCTTTTCAATAGATGTTATAATGCTGGAGTTAAAAGTGGGATATTTCTGATTTATCACAGTTATATCTCTCAAATACTCCAATACAAATACATGCGATACTAAAAAAAAAAAATGAAACTAGAATATATATATTTTATTGTACTTAGAGTTGCATAAATATAAAGATTATATATTATTTTTTGGTAATTATGGATGGAGTTAAAAGTGGGATATTTCCTTTAATTTAAAGATATGTCTCTCAAATACTGCCATAATAAGTTAAGCGGTCATAAACAACAAATAAATTATAATGTTAAAGATAATTCTATTATGTTTATGATTGCGAACATTTTCAAATTGGAAGCAAATTGTTAATCCCAAATTGATTTAGAAACATTTAAAATAATAACACATAGAGCGTGAGGAATTGTCTCGAGCTATGCTAAAAATTCTGTGGGGATATTTTTTTATTATCAAAAGATATGTCTCTCAAATACTCCAATGCAAATTCGCTGCTGTCTGCAATTGTAATTTGTAAGGATTTCCTAACACTCAATATAATTAGATTCAAAAATTATTTCTAAAAATATTTTTTTATTTTTTTCATGCAATGTTAAATTTGCTGGAGTTAAAAGTGGGATATTTCTGATTTATCAAAGATATGTCTCTCAAATACTCCTATAAAAATCCATGTGATGCTAAATAACAGTGAAATCACAATATATTCCATTGTGTTTAGAATTGCGTACATACAAAGATTATATTTCAGTTATTTTGAAATGATGAATGGAGTTAAAAGTGGGATATTTCCCTTAAATAAAATATATGTCTCTCAAATACTCCTATAATAAGCTAAGCGGTCGTAAAAATGAATGAATTATGTTAAAAATAATTCAACTCAAATTATGATTGCAAATACTTCTACAAAGGAACCAATTTTTCAATTCGAATTTAATCACTCAAATACTGCAACACAGAACTGAAGAATTGAAAAAAAATTATTTAATTATTTGCTTATTATTATTAAACAAAAATTATTATTAATTATTTTTGATTTTTCTTGAGATGCTAAAAGCTTGGAATTAAAAGTGGGATATTTCTGATTTATTAATCCATGTTATGCTTAACGGTGAAATTAGAATATACATTTCTTTGAGATTAGAATTGCATACACACAAAGATTATACAGGGTGAGGTAAAAAAAACTGCAACAAAGTCAAACGCCATAATTTTTAATTTTTTTTCAAATTTTTTTGAATGAAAGCAAAAAATGTCGGAAATAGCATCAAATGTTAGCATAAGTTTAGATTTGTTCGAATTGGCCACCTTTGGCATGAATTCTGGACTTTAAACCGCCAATGAAATCGTCACACGCTGCCCGAATGTTGCTCTGCTGTAATTTGGCACATTCTCGGCGAAGCGCTTGCTTGAGGTGATCGGCACTTTGGTATTTTTTAGTGCCAACCTTGCTTTCCAAAATACTCCAGACACAATTGTCCAACGAATTCGTATCTGGAGCTTTTGGTGGACATTGTGTGCTGGAAATGAAGCGAGGAACCTCATTTTGCAACCATTATTGGGTGGCGCGTGCTGACTGCGATGGTGCTGAGTCCGGTTGGAATGTCCAAGGTCTGCGGCCAAAAGGCTTTAATACACTCTTCAGAATATTTTCGCGATAATATTCGGCATTTATTCTGATGCCACGGTCGATTAATACGAGCGGCCATCACCATGGTCATCACCTCTTTGGCAAATTGTGGACAACGAATGTTTTCTCATCGGACAAAAACAAAATTCGGCAGTTCACTACTTTCGGCCAAGCGAAGCAACTCTTTAGCTCTTTTGAGTCAATTTTCTTTTTGTTGCGGCGTAAGTTCTTGCACCTTTTGGAATTTCAATGACTTTACTCCAAGCTCATTTTTCAATATTTGCCGAATGGAATATTGCGATATGTTCAGCTCACGAGGCATTTTTCGGCCGCTGTAACGTGGGTTTCGATCAAGTCACTTCTTTACTTTTCGAACCATTTCTGCTGATGTTCCTGTTTTCTTCCGTCCACTTCCTTGACGTCGGGCTACGCTACCAGCATCACGGTAATATTACAAACGACCAAACAAACGCCACTTATAGCTTTCCAGCCAAATATAAAGAAATCACACTATCACGCTTGAATTCCATCACGAATAACTTTTTTTTTTGGAAAATTCTCACCAAAATCCTTTTGTACGCTTGTAAACAATATAATGAGCTGTCAGTGGAATAGTTTTTACAGCTGTCGGACGACTGGCTTAGAAATGACAGCATTCTGAAGTTGGTTGCAATTTTTTCATCTCACCCTGTACATTTTTAAGAAGTTGCCAAGCTTTCGTATATAAATATATAAAGTTTTAATTGGATCTTTTTAAGTTTACAACTGGTTTTCAGTACGGTCTAAATTTGAGCTAAAGCAAATATTATCTTCATAAAAATATGTCATATCACAGGTATAACTCGTTTATCTATTTTTTTATTTTTTACCCCATTCTATTGATAGTGCATTCGTTATCACTCGAGTGTGATAAGCCAAATATATATACCTATATTGTAGTAATAATATTTTGTAGATATATTTTATAACATTTGCGGTCAATGAATGACTAATACAATTAAATATTATTTTTGTTTGCAGATTAAAACCAGAATCAATAGACATTAAAATAGCAGACTTTGATGGTGTGTTATTTCACATATCCAACATAAATGGTGATAAGACAAAAGTTCGAGTAAGTTGTAATAAATTTGAAATGTGTACATGCATATGCCTGTATGCCTCATGTATGGTGTGTCTTGCATTTAATAACAATTACAATTTATGGGCACACACAGTCACGCCACAAAACACAATTCATTTTAATTTTGCCTTTTTAAAAATTACAGACAAGCATTTCTTTAAAATTCTATCAACAATTACAAGAACATGGTGCCGATGAATTGCTCAAGCGTGAATATGGCAGTCTGTTAACTGAAACGGAAGATGGTATGCAACAGAGAGAGAATTGTAAATAGTCTATTGGCTTATTTCTAATTTAAAATTGTGTGTGTGTGCGTTTTCATGTTTTTTTAGGCTACAATGTATCCGTACTTATTAATTTAGAAGATATACCCTCAGACTGGGAAGATGTTGCCAAAAAGATTGGCTTGCTGAAGCGTAATTGTTTTGCGTCCGTTTTCGAAAAGTATTTCGATTTCCAAGAACAAGGTGAAGAGGGCCAAAAACGTGCTGTTATCAATTATAGAAACGATGAGACTTTGTAAGAACGTTGTCATAAATGCTATATAGATTTTTAATTGATTTGATTTAATTGATTTTTCCTTTTATCCTTTAGGTATGTTGAGGCCAAAGCGGATCGTGTTACTGTTGTTTTTAGTACCATTTTCCGTGATGAAGATGATGTTGTTATAGGTAAAGTTTTTATGCAAGAATTGCGTGAAGGTCGTCGTGCATCGCATACTGCACCACAAGTGCTCTTTTCCCATCGTGAACCACCATTAGAATTGGCCAACACGGAGGCTAAAGTTGGCGATAATATTGGTTATGTTACATTTGGTAAGTGAATGTTTTTTAAATTTAATGAAATACTAGATTGGTTTTGCTGGGTGGCTTAGCTATGGCTATAAATCGTTTATATCAACCTATACGATTTTGCTTAAATCTCTTTTAAGTAGTAGGAAAATGAAGATAAATCAAAACTTGTTTATTTCGTGAAGATTATTGTTAGTTGAATCGGAAAAAGATATTTCACAGAAACGAAATAGGAAATTTTAAAGAATAAATAGACAAACAACACATGACGAAGAAAAGACTATCAATCTATAGTTTATTGTTTATTTCAATTTAATTCTATAGTTTATAATTTATAACTTAGTTTTAAAAAATGTTTTTATAAGAGATGAAGCAAGCATGATTCAAAATAACACATTTATTGAAAAGCAGTTTACAAGGGAGTTAGAAGTGGGACATGTCCACTGTAACCTTCGATAATGTCTCTCAGATACTCCAATACTAATTTGGTGCACATTTAAATGACATGCAACATCACAAGTTAGTGTTGTGCGTATGGATTTGTTGCAACACATTTGTCCATTGTATGAAGAATAACTATATTTTTATAATCGAAGGTGGTCAGGGTATTATGTCTTTGTGCACTTGCTTGTAACAGTCAAAAGGAAACGAGATAGACCCATAGTTCCTGTTGATGATCTGCATAGACTCACTTTCTGAGTCGATTTATGCATGTCTGTCCGTCTGTCTGTTCATATATTTTTGTAAACAAAGTACAGGTTGCATTTATCCCGATCCAGATGAAATTTTGCACAAGTCATTTGTTTGACCCAGAACGAATCCTGTTGGAGATTGGAGATAATCGGTCAAAATGTAGATATAGTTCCCTTATATATCTTCATTCGATTTTCCATTTATTGTGCACCAGACGTGTAATATCAGCTCAAATTGTATGGAATTTTGCACATACGACCAAATTCAGCCAGGAAATAAGTATGCCAAATTCGATCGAAATCGGTTCAGATATAGCTATAGCTCCCATATATATTGTTCATCCGATTTGATATATTTGTTCACCGTAACAACGATATTCGGGGAAATACATCAAATAGAGCTCAGAAATACATTTGCTAAATTTTATCGTGATCGGTTCAGATTTGGATGTAGCTCCCATATATATCTTTATCCGATTTCTTGTTAAATATGCACCAAATGGGTAATATAAGCCCGAATTAAAAAGGTAGAAATGTCCTTGCAAATTTAACAGAAATCGATTCAGAGGAGAATATTCCCTTTCATATAACAGTTCCTTTGGACTTCAAATTTAACTATAAATTCAAATTGCTCAATAAAAACTTTTTTGTTATGTGAAGCTCTCCTAAATACCCAAATATATAGTATTAAGATGGGACAACACAGCGTCAAAATATTGTCACCAGGTGAAAATAGCTCTGTTGTTATGATATCGTAACAACATAGTTACCAATGTTCGGTGATTTAAACCGCTAAGGTAATATGCAATTAATTGGATGGAATTTTGAAATTATTCAAACTTTTATTTGTCATTCTTTTTTATTGTTTTGTTTTTTTTTATATTAACACGCCTCTGTCATGAGCTGCTATTCAATATAGTATAGCCCCAAATCATTCGCTTAGAATGCATTTTGTTTAGTCTTTAACATTTAGGTCTTTGATGCAAAGGGGGGTTGGGTATCATAATATCTTATCGGTCAGTTCGACTATATGGCTTTCTTTACTGGTTAAAATGTTTAATATTAATATCATTGGCATTTAAATGATTTGATATAGGATACTAGCATTTGAGATGTATTGGTCTCTTTTACGGGCACAGGAAAAGCTTCTGTCTATTCACTTGGTAAAAGTGGTATACCTTAAATGTATTTAGTATGTGTCCTCATACACACAAATATTAAATTAAATTATATTGAACTCCCCCGTAGTATAATGGAGTTAAAAGTGGGACATTTCTGATTGTTGTTTACATAAATGTCTCTCAAATACTCCAATATAAATACAACAATATTAAACATATGTTAAAATAATAAAAATATTTTATTCTGTTTACTATTGCAAACATTTATAGATAGTGATTTCAATTATATGGTCGACCTTACTCCTTGTTGGAAATAGTTCTTCTAATCGTAAAAGTAAAAAGTGGAGTTAAAAGTGGGATATTTCGGTTCACCAAAAGATATGTCTCTCAAATACTCCAATAACAATTTGAGCAATGTTAAGCAACAATTAAATAACCATATATTTGATTATGTTTAATATTGCAGACATTAAAAATAATGTATAAAATTTGTTTGGTAAAACACAATTTTAAAATTTGTTTGATTTTACTCATATGATAATAAAATGATGGAGTCAAAAGTGGGATATTTCTGATTTATCACAGATATGTCTCTCAAATGCTCCCATAGAAATCCATGCCATGCTAAACAAAATTTCAATTGGAATATAACACATATATTTCATTGTGTTTGGAATTGGGTACATACAAATATTATACATTTAATTTTTAGTAATTATATATGGAGTTAAAAGTGGGATATTTCTCTTTGTTAAAAGACATGTCTCTCAAATACTCCCATAATAAGTTAAGCTGTCATAAAACATTCGAATTGTTTTATTAAAAATAATTCAACTATATTTATGACAGCGAACATTTTATAAAGGAAAAACAGAACAAAATCGCTTAGTATTGAAATAGAAATTTGAAAATCAACAATATTCTAAAAATATGGAAGAGCTGGAGTTAAGGTGGGACATTTCGGATTATTGAAAGATGTGTAGATCCTCCTTAATAACATTTATTGGTAAAGATATATTTCAAAGGAAATAAATTCAAAATTTATTTGGAAGAACCATTTTCAGAATTAGTATAGATAATGGAGTTAAAAGTGGGATGTTTCCTTATATTAAAAGATGTGTCTCTCAAATACTCCAATAAAAATTAATGCAATGCTAAAGAAAAATCAAATATGAAATATTTGATTGTGATTTAAAACTGCACACATTCATAAATAATATTGATTTCTTTGCTGGTAAATAATTGGAGTAAAAAGTGGGTTATTTCTTATAATTTAAAGATTTAACTCTCAAATATTCCTAAATTAAGTTCGGCAAAGTAAAATGGAATCGATGGAAATCCAATTTACATTTGCAAACAATGATTTATTGTTGCTTTTGAATGATATGTTTTATTTGTTGTTATATGTGGGATATCTCGAATTAATTTCAAATGTGTTTCTCAAATATAACTATTCAAGTTAAACGATATTAAACAGTAATTAAATATAACATATTTAATCTTATTTACTATGGCTTACATTTAAAATTTAAATGCTTTTAGATTAACATAATGGGAGTTAAAAGTGGGATATTTTTAAATAACTAAAGACTTATCTCTCAATTGCTCCCAGAAAAAACTGGCTATGCTAAAGTGGATTGTATAGTTTTTATGTCTAACCAATCCGATTGAAATATGCGGCAAACATATAAAATGTGTGAATTTTTCCGTAGATTTGGAATATTAAGTATGATATTTTGAATATGGAATATAAAGTTTGATATTTTCTATATCATGGAACTTATCGCTATTGTATTCCAATACTAATTCTTTTTGTAAAGAGACTTGAAAAAATCATGTGTAGAATAATGATGAAAAACGCATGAAGACCCAGTCTTGTACAATTTTAATTTAATAGTTCCATTTGCTATTATGCGATTCAGTCTAAGAAATCCTCCTAAAAGAAAAAAGATTGAGAAAGGAGGAAAACTAGGAATTAAGTTAAAAGTATAATTAAACAAGTAAAAATACAGATAAGTACGAACTTTGATTACGCTCCACTATTTGGAAGGAACTTCCAAAATATAAAAAACAATATGTTAAAAATTCCACAATAATTAAAAAATTCTGAATATGAGGGCTGTAAGAAAATGTGAACATCTGTAGCCAAATACCTGAAAAATGAAGCTAAAATCCTCAAAACACTGAATATTTGGTGGTGCCGTTATATGAGGGCTATACGAATACCTAGATCTGTGGAAGTAGGGCCAAAACGAATACCAAATTTTAAATAATTCCGGTGAAAAGTGTGACACAAATCATCAAAATACCGGCCGTGTAGACCCACGTTTTATAACTGTACCTCCCGATATTCGGTATTTTGAAGATTTTAGCGACATTATTCACCGGAATTGTTTCAAATTTGGTATTTGAAGTTCCTAATGTATACTACAGCCTAAGACAGGAGATTGTCTGTGCAGGTCCACGTCTTCGTATAGCCCCTATAAAATGTTACCTCCCGATATTCGGTATTTTTATGATTTTAACGATATTATTCATCGGAATTTTTTCAAATGGTAATGAATACGTAATGGATGCAGTAGCCTAAGGCAAAAAATTGTCCTTGCAGGTCCACATTCATGTGTAGCCCCCATATAATAGTACCTCCCTATATTAATGATTTTAGCTACATTATTCACCGAGTTTTTTTCAAGTTTCGCATTCATATATTGTTATGGCATATGACAAAATTTGCCTATGCAGGTCCACGTCGTCGATTAGATCATAATATGAAGGCTACATTCGGCGGTTTTAAGATTTTAACGGATTTTATTTTTTTGAAAATTGCCAAATTCGTTCCAAATGCTGGAGGGTATTCAATGTTCGGTCCGGCCGAACTTACAGCTTTTTTACTTCTTTAATGTACCAATCGTGGAGTTTTTTAGAGTATATCTAAAAAATACAAACATGAAATCAGTAGTTATTATTTTTTTTTTCTATTTATTGCAGTGCTCTTTCCACGTCATACTAATAAGGAAACTAGAGATAATACCATTAATTTAATACACATGTTCCGAGATTATTTGCATTACCACATTAAGGTAAGTTCGAAGTTCGACAAAAATACGATTTTTCATTTCAAAACGTTCATTAATATCCCTCTTATTTTCATTTCCCCACCCCAATACAGTGTTCAAAGGCTTACATTCACTCAAGAATGCGTGCAAAAACTTCCGATTTCTTAAAGGTCCTCAATCGTGCAAGACCCGAACACAAGTCCCTAGAAAAGAAGACCATAACGTGAGTATTAAAGGCTGGATTCGACATGATGTTAGAGTTATATGTAGAGGGAGTTAAAAAGTAAAAAAAAAACTACAATGTGTAGTATATAGGCTATATAATATAGCATTACTTTTTGGGTTTTGAAATTTGTTAGTGAAAAATTCACTTTACATATGACTCTAACATAATGTGTAATCATTCCTTAATTCATTGTCTTTTGAACTATATAATTCTAATAAATGTTATCTTTTTACCTCTTTTTTCTTTTCCTACCAGGGGGAGAACATTTATACGCAAAGAATGATTTATGGACAATGTCTAGTTGTTTTTTTTATTAATGTATTAATTTTTGTATTATTAAACGAAATAAATATATAAATGGAACATGCGAAAATAATAATAATAACAATAAAGTGAAAAAGAGAATAACAGTTACAATTAACATTTCCAAAAATTACAAAAAAAAAAAACAAAAATAAATAAACAATTCAACATCATCGCCATGAGAATTCTCATTTTGATAGTAACAATAAAAAATAACAACAACAAATTGTTTAACAAAAATTAACAAAAAAGAAGGAAAACACAACAACCATACAACGCCAATATCTTTGTCGCAACCAAATTTAAGGTATTCCAAAAGTTAAAACTTTGTCTTATAAAAATTAAAAAAAAAACTCCCCAAAAATATGGAATCATGAACACGAAAAACCCAAAACACACACACATATATACATACGGAACTATGAACTAATAACAATTATTATTAATAATAATGTGGTTTAACCCTTAAGAATGAAAAAAAAAACAAAAACAAAAAATTGTAATAAAAATAGAAGTTTTAAGTTTTTTTTAATGTATTATTTTTTATTATTTGTGAAAAATCAAACAAAACCTAAACACATAAGCTAAAACTAAAAATAATAAAAAACAGTAAAAATTTGTTAACAAAAAAATAAATAAATATTTAAAAACGAGAAACAACAATAAAAATGCAATCCAAAACTTTCCTACAAACAAATCCGAGAAACAAAAACACATTGTGTATTTTATTATGGTGGATTTTTGAATTTGATTTGTGTATTTTTTTACGGATGCCATATTTTGTGAATTCTTAACGATTTTAACGGATCTCACATTATGTAAAATATTATATAGGGCTCACCTTTCACAGTTGCATTACGATTCGCAGCATTTTTTAAGAAGTCCGGTCCAATAATGTCACCGGCCCATAAACCGCACAAAACTGTTTACCCATAGTTCCTTTTGATGATCTGCATAGAATCACATTCTGAATCACATTCTTTATGAATGTCCGTCAATACGTCTGTCCATGTATTTTGGTAAACAAAGTACAGGATTTATTTATTGGCCGATCCTGATGAAATTTTGCACAAGTCATTTGTTTGACCTAAGGACGAAACCTATTGAAATTGGAGATAATTGGTAAAAATTTAGATATAGCTCCCATATATATCTTCGTCCGATTTGCCTTTTATTGCGCACCAAACGTGTAATATCAGGCCAAATTGTATGAAATTTTGGATATACGACCAAATTATGCATGGAAATAAGTATGCCGAATTTGGTAGAAATCAGTTCAGATATAGCTATAGCTCCCATAAACATTGTTCATCCGATTTGATATGTTTGTACTCAGCAGCCGTAATATGCACTCTGTTACGACGATATTTGAGGAAATATATCAAATACAGCACAGAAATGCCTTTCCCAATTTTTATCGAGTTCGGTTTAGATTAGGACATGGCTCCCATATATGTCTTCGCGCGATTTGCCTTTTACGTGTAATATTTGGCCAAATGGGATGAAATTTGGCACTTACTAGCAAATTGACCTTAGAAACAAGTATGTCAAATTTGGTGGAAACCGCTTCAGATATAGCTATAGCAACCATACATATTTTTCATCCGATTTGTTAAAAATGAAAAAAAAAAACAATAATTTTTACATTTTTTTTTTAAATTTTATTGAATGAAATTTTATTGAAATAGCTTCAAATTTTAGAAAAAGTTTAGATTTTAGATAAAACCGTCACACGCTGCCCGAATGTTGCTCTGCGGTACTTTAGCCCAGTCCCGGCGAAGCGCTTGTTTGAGGTGATCGACACTTTAGTATTTTTTAGTGCCAACCTTGCTTTCAAAAATACTCCAGACACAATAGTCCAACGGATTGGTATCCGGAGATTTTGGTGGCCATTGTGCGCTGGAAATGAAGCGAACATTTGGAACCATTCTTCGGTGGCGCGTGTTGAGTCCTGTTGGAATTTCCAAGGTTTGCGGCCTAAATACTTGCGTGCCAAGGCTTTAACACACCCTCCAGAATATGTTCGCGATAATATTCGGCATCTATTCTGATGCCACGGTCGATTAATACGAGCGGAGTGCGAACATCGGCTGTTATTGAGGCCAACCAAAGGTGCACATATTCAGCTGACCTCTTGACGGGTTTCGATCAAGTCGCTTCTTTAATTTTCGAACCAATTCTGCTGTAAGAGACACAAAAGATTTATTCACATTTATATGCTGGAGTGCTCTAACTATAGCCACTTGTGGTTTTACAGCTACATATAAAGAAATCACACTATCACGCTTGAATTCCATCACGAATATCTTTTTTTCTGGAAAATTCTCACCAAAATGCTTTTGTACGCTTGTAAACAATATAATAAACTTTCACTGGAATAATTTTAACAGCTGTCTTAGAAATGACAGCAGTCTGAAGTTGGTTGCAGTTTTTTCATCTCACCCTGTATTTTATATTTTATATAAAGCTCTACTAAATATGCAAAGCTGTGTAGGGTAACATAAAGTCGGCCCCACCTACTTTTAGACTTTCCTTACTGGTTCTGGATGCATTGGTAGCGTTTCCAATGATTCTGGCTGATCTTCCCTCAAAAACAGTATTGATAATAACATCTCAATGATTTGCAAGTGTTGTTCGTTTGTAAGACATGTGTAACAAAACGCAAAACCTGTGAGCAGTTTAAACCACGACTCATTTCGTGATTTTTTTAAGAGTCGTCATGGACCTCACTAGGTACAATATTGTGGATTTTTTGAAGAGGTTTTGTGGATTTCTTTAAATATTTAAAATAATTCGAAAATGTTACGGAATTTATTATGTACCCCTTATTTTGTGAATATTTTAAATATTTTTTATAAACCCCTTCAAGGACCAAATCCTCTCGTTCGATATCAAAAAAGTTTATTTCGACGTGTCGATATGTCATTTTAGCTCGATTTCATTGAAAATTTCAGTAGAAACGACTAAATGTTGGATGTTTGAGTTGAAAGCCAGTTGTTTTTAGCAAATTTCTAAAAAAATCTAAATCTAAAATAAGTGTGCAGAAGATCATTTCAATTGAGATTTTTCCGGATTGAATGCAAGAATTTTGGCCTAGGATTTACATATCTAGAATATGTTAAAGATCTTTTATTTTTATTTTTTATTTATTTTTTTGCATTTAAAATTGTGAATTTTTAAAAGATTTTTTTTTTTTGGATACTTTTAGGCTTTGGGCATTTTATATCGTGAAGTTTTCAAAATTTATGGAGCATTGATTGAATATTTCAAGAAACTCAAAAAACGGATATTTCCACACACAGATAAGGTAAGTAATATACTTCTCATAATTATTTTAAATTATATTTATTAATACTTTCTTTTTTCTTCATTTTGCAAATACATAATAAAATTTACGAAAATGGTTTTTGGTTCTAATTATACTTTTATATTATCAATTACACTTATGTGATTATTTTTAAGTTTATTTGGATCCTTGTCCAGGCTCTCAACACTATTACATTGCTTTATGAGATAATTGGAGAGTATATATTCAATGGCTGTAAAGAAACAATGAAAAATCAAACATGTGGCCGTTATTAATCTGGAAGTAATAATAGTTAAAATTTAGTTAATTTAACGATTTTCCATTTTAATATTCATGATTCATATCTAACTACGTTATTGCGTGCATGGTTTAACTACCGTAAAATATCAATAGCTTACCTTAAAATGAACACCTTTTTGTGGAAATTCTATTACTTTATTTATGGTTCATCATATTCTTCCAATTTTATGTAAGCAAGTGCTGTGAATAGGTTTTTTTTTTTGGGGGGGTTTTAAGTTGAAAAGATGGGAAGATTGAGTTTGGTGTATATATGTATGCATAAGGTTAATGAAAAATGGAATACACAAAAAAGGAGGAGAATAATGAAATTAAAGGGAAGAAAGACAAAGAGGTAAAAGTTGAGAAAGAAAAGTGCTTAATAAAAAATATTTACATTTGTAATATAAAATTGGTTTATGAAAAAATGGGTTGGGTCAAAGGGACTTAACATGGCGTTAAATTTTGAATATAAAACAATTATGTATATAAAAATGATGTAGAATTAGGGGTAATTTAACATATTATTCTATATTACGATACAAATAACAACGTTTAATATTGCTTATCGATTTTCGTTCTGTTTGTCTAAGATGCCGATATTCATATTAGCAACAGCTAGTTTCATTTTGCACTAACAAAGTTCGAACCGATTTCCAAAATCCCACAATGCTTTGCAAGAAACGCAAAGCAAATGGAATAGAAATAGATATCTTTTTTTTTGGATTTCTATTTTTTACAAATTACAACCATAGTTATGACAACTATTCGAATTGATCTCGTGATGATTTCGATTATTGCCTTGGTAATTCTTGTGTATGGCTACAGGTGGTGGAACATAAAGTGGCGATGGTGGGGCTTTTCGAACAGCGGGATGGACAACATGATGACCACCTATGCCCATTTCATCGAGAAAATGATGGAGTAAAACTATTTTTGTTGTTTGTTGGGCTAGTACGACAACATGCGTGGATTTTTTCATTTGGTATTGGTGTTGTTGTTGGATTTCGTCAGACGAGTTCCATGCCATATGGGCATTATGTCTATAAGCAAGACTATCGTGAAGCAATGGCATATCATTGTAGAAATGACAAACTGTAAAGTAAATTATTTTAATTTCATTTGTGGATAAAACATTTCAATAAACAAAAATTGAGAACTGATTGAAAAATTTTATTACTTTTAACATTAACATTATATTTTTTTAATATAGGAAAATTGTATACGACCGTATAATGGCGGATTCTTTTGCTGATTTTTTGTTGAATGATTCTTTAAGGCTTTTATTGGGCCCTGCATATGGTATTTCAAGAAGATATCCTAAGGTCTAATAAAGTTAAATATTTGAGACACCCATAAATACAACTCGTTTTTTATAATCAAATTTAAAAAAATCATAAGTTTAAAAAAGGTATTAGGATGACTTTTTTTATTAAAATACAGTATTAGGAGACTTAAGACTTAATGTCTTTTTTTAAGAAATATTTTAATGCAATTTTCAATTTTTTTTTTTTGCATTGTAGATTTTTAAGTAATTTTAGAAGATTTTCTAAGTTTATATTTTGGAATTTAAATTGTTTTTTTTAAGTTTCCCTTATGCCTTAAATTGTGAATTTTTAAATATGGCCCTCTATAAGAGATGCTTAAAGAATTTATTTAAGGCGCTTTATGTGTTTCCACCTAATATACTGTGAGGTATCCTTATGAATTCTTGCATTGTGCTATGGATCCAATAGAGTTCTTTATCGAGCGTTTAAAAAAATAAGGATTCCTCTTAACTGTTTATCGCAGTTTTTTTAATAATAATGTATGGATCCCATTGGGCTTTATACAGTGAATTTTGAACAAAATGTTTATGGATCCTATTGGTTCTCATATCGTGGATTTTTTATTACAGACAGGACTGATGGATAGGGACTTTTGTATTGGGGATGTTTAAAAGAATACTATTTTTATAGATCCTTAGATAGATCTTTATGTCGTAGACTTTTAAAATAATATTCTTTTGGATCCCATTGGCCTCATATCGTAAAAAATATTTTTATGGATCAAATAGAGTATTTTATCAAAGATTTGGATATTACATCGTAGACCCGTCATGGTATCTTTCTTTGGATTATAAAGGATCTTATATAGTAAATTTTATACCCTGTGTTTTATTACTGCGGAGAGACTCATCGAAAGTACGGTTTTAGACCATAGGTCTCCTTGGATGAAATCCATTTCAGGATATATGGAGTCGAAGGGTGTCCGTCCGTCCGGATCTTATATAGTAAATTTTATACCCCCTGTTTTATTACTGCGGAGAGACTCATCGAAAGTATGGTTTTAGACCCCAGGTCTCCTTGGATGAAATCCATTTCAGGATATATGGAGTCGAAGGGTGTCCGTCCGTCCGGATCTTATATAGTAAATTTTATACCCTCTGTTTTATTACTGCGGAGAGACTCATCGAAAGTACGGTTTTAGACCCCAGGTCTCCTTGGATGTCCGTCCGGATCCTATACAGAAAATTTTATACCCTGTGTTTTATTACTGCGGAGAGACTCATCGAAAGTACGGTTTTAGACCATAGGTCTCCTTGGATGAAATCCATTTCAGGATATATGGAGTCGAAGGGTGTCCGTCCGTCCGGATCTTATATAGTAAATTTTATACCCCCTGTTTTATTACTGCGGAGAGACTCATCGAAAGTATGGTTTTAGACCCCAGGTCTCCTTGGATGAAATCCATTTCAGGATATATGGAGTCGAAGGGTGTCCGTCCGTCCGGATCTTATATAGTAAATTTTATACCCTCTGTTTTATTACTGCGGAGAGACTCATCGAAAGTACGGTTTTAGACCCCAGGTCTCCTTGGATGTCCGTCCGGATCCTATACAGAAAATTTTATACCCTCTGTTTTATTACTGCGGAGAGACTCATCGAAAGTACGGTTTTAGACCCCAGGTCTCCTTGGATGAAATCCATTTCAGGATATAAGGAGTCGAAGGGTGTCGGTCCGTCCGTCTGTCTGTCTGGTTCGCACGATAACGCTCGAATGGACTATGCGATGTTGGCCAAACTTGGTACATCGTAATATTTTATCAAAATTAGATCGAGTTCGGAGATGGTCAATATCGGTCGACTTCTTCTGGTGCCTCCCCCATAAAATTTTAAATGTTTCATATAAAATAATTTACCTCATATTACAAGCAAGGATCATCCGATTATGCTCCAACTTTGCAAATCCTAATACTGGCATCATTGCAAGGTCAGGTGTGTTTGGTACATCTCAATATTTCTACCAACAGAAGATCTGGTATGATACCATCTTCATATATATTGGACCACTCCTTCTGATACCTCCCATACACAGTGGTCAAAATTTGTAATAACCAAAACCCTCTTAAAATGCGATATGAGCAACCGATTCTTTACCAACTCGGCACATCAAAATATTTCTTCTAACACAAAGTCTACTGTGAAGGTGGGATATATCGGACCACTCCTCTCGGTACCTCCCCCACAAAGTGTTCAAAATTTTGAATAACAAAACGAACTTAATACGAAATATGCATTCGATTCTCTTTACATTTCTGACATTCCAATGGTTTTGCTAAAGAAAGCTATGGTGTAAAGATATTGGTCCCCTCCTTCTGGTAGCTCCCCCACAAGGGGCACATTTACCATTTGGAACAAATTTGGAAATTTAAAAAAAATAAAATCCGTAGAAAAATTCTGTTAAAACCTTAAAAATACCGAATATAGCGGTTGTATTGGGGTCTATACGAAGACGTGGCCCTGCATAGGCAAATAATTTCGGTGAATATTGCACCTAAAATCTTCAAAATACCGAATATAGGGAGGTACCGATATATGGGGCCTATATGAAGACCTTGACCTGCATAGACAGTTTTCTGTCATAGACCGTAGTTCCCATTACGAACTCTAAGTACGAAATTTAAAACAACTCCGGTGAATAATCTCGCTAAATTAATCAAAATACCGAATATCGGACGTACCGTTATTTGGGGCCTATACGATATTGTGGACCGCAATAGCCCATCTTCGAACTTGACCTCACTGCAGACAAAAGACTGATCTGTGCAAATTTTTAGCTTCTCATCTGAAAATAAAAACATTTATATTTAAATTATTTTTTTTTTTTTTCTGCCACGACGCGACATTAGAATATGAAAATCTTTCATAAAAAAGCATTGAAAATATTACCTAAAGGCTTTTCAGATCCATTAATACATATTTTTAAAATCCACGATCCATTTGGAATCCATAAAAATATATTTTTTTGGATCTATATTTTACACATATTTTCGACATAAACTCCTATGGGATCCATAAAAATCCTTCAAAAAATCACTAAAAAATCAACGAATTCTTTCAGATTCAGATTTTTTGAACTTTTTTAATGTTGTAAACTTGTATTTACCAAGAAAGAAATAGACATTTTTCTATTCTAAGGACTTCTCGGATAGCTATTTGAACCAAGACACTACAAAATGACCCTCCCCCCATTTCGTAGAATGAAAAATGTTTGCTCGTAAACTTTTACGATAACTCTTTTTGCTAAAGGCTTTTGACTTAATCAGTGGAAAAAGTTACTGACCTTTAAGGACATTTATCATTGCGATTGGCTTGGTGACATTTTGAGAAGAGAAAAAAATGTTGGAAAACATGCAAAAGGGCTTGGCTGGCTTCACAGCAAATATAAGGTGTTACCGTTATACAAATATTCATATGTACACATGTATGTATATAAATGGTACATAAATACCGACAAACGAACATAAATGACTTTTGTTCTTAAAAAATTTACAAGAAAGTTTACGATACGAGATATGTAGGTGTAAAAATATATATGGAGTTTTTGCAAACAGTTCTTAAAAAAATACAAATGTACAATTTCAATTTACAATAGTTACTAATCCTTATACACATAAGAATATTACAAACTGTACATTATGTTTAAAAAAATTACTATTTTATAAAAAGAATTCAATATCCTTTCCTTAATATTATTACCTTTCTGTAAATCCATATCATCCATTTCGGAATTTTTAATTTGTTGTAATTTTTCGCGAAATTTCTTCGTGATCTGTTTTCTTTGGTAGTCAGCTTCGATTTCTTGTTTTGTTCGGGGTATTCGAAAGCGTACACAACAACACACCATTATGACTACAACGAAAAAAAAAAACAAATTGAAGAGAATTTAAATTCTATAACCGTTTTATTTTTGATTTGATATCCTCTCGTATTACTTATGCTCATTATTATTCCCAAACATATGGCAATAATGTGCCAAACACGAAATCCTCCAATTGTGGTCTTTTCCAGCCATGTTGAGTCGGGGTTTACTTCCAAAAAATCTTGATCCTCGTCGCTCATATTAAAATTTGGATTTTCTTTTTAAATTAACAGCAGAAAAAATAGAACTTATTTTGATTTTTTTGTTGTTTATTTTTCTTGTTATCCTTTTTTGTAGATTTCTTTCGTTTTGTGATGTTTTTGTTTCAAAAGTTCGTAGCAGACTGAAATTTGAATAAAATTCTAAATGTGTTATGACCTATCCTTTGGCGGATGTGTGTGCATGTGTATTGGCCACTTAGGTTATCATAAAGATTTATTTTAAATACAGGGTGTGCCGATAGCATGTGTTTATTTTTAGGTCGGTAGAAATTGAATGAAGGAATTTGTGAAGAAATTGAGAATTTTCACAGTCGGGAAAGAAATTTAAAATTTAGGAATATCTAAAAAGGGTAATGAAATAACCGACCGACTGAGAATCGACGCCCAGACGAAACAGTTGAAGCTAGGATCTTGAAATTTTGCATGAAGGTCAGTCTCGGTGCGTAGGCCGAGTTTTTTGAAAAATCATACTAAAAGGATTGGAAAAGTACTAAAATGTACGAAAAATTGAATACCTTGTATTAGACAAACGGAATGAGATAGAAATTTTAAATAAGTGTCACTGGCATGCAACAAAACGATTTTAGAAATTCGAACTTTAAGGTTACGAAAAGTTCTAAAATGGTGCTAAACTTCTAAAATGGTACCATTTAATATTATGTGAACGAATAGAGCTAAAAACATGAAATGCGATATATGAATCAAAGGTTGGAAAGTTAATTTTATATATAAAGAAGGTTTTGGAAATGCGAACTAAAAAGTGCTAAATTTAAAACAGTGCGACTTAAGGTAAACGGATGAAGCTGGAACTTCGAATTTTCGCACGAACGTCAATCTTGGTGTGTGGGCAGGGCTATTGAGTTTTTGGAAATTTGTACTGGGTTTTTCGAAATCCCTTCTAAAAGGAGACGTAAAGTACTAAAATGTTAGAAAAATTAAAACTGTGTACTGGAAAAAGGGGAATGAACTAGAAATTTGGAATGAGAGTCACTGATGGAGTGCGGCATAGATGTACAAATGGGTTTTTGGAAATTCGAAATTAAAGGTTACGAAAAGTTCTAAAGTGATACTAAACTTCGTACCATTTGGTATTATGTGAGCGGATAGAGCTAGAAACATGAAATTTGATATGGGAATCAAGGCTGGAAAGTAAGCATGATATATGTTTTGGAAATGTGGTCTTAGTGTACGAACGGTACTAAATGCTAGGGATGAAGCTGGAATTTTGATACTTTCTTTTGTGGTCAATGTTGGTGGCAGGTTTGTGATAAAAATTTGTTTTTGGAAATCTTTTTTGGATCTGGGGGTGGTTTGGAAATCCGTCTCATATTTGTACGAAAAGTACTAAATGGTACAAAATTTGGTATTGGGTGAAGGGATAGGTCTGGAATATTCAAATTTGATAATATGGATGTGGTTTTGAAAATGTTTACTATAATTGTACGAAAAGTACTAAATAGTACTAAATTTGGTATAGGGTGAAGGAATAGTGCTGAATTTCTAAAATTTTATATAAATGTCACTGTTGGTGTCTGTGGCTGAGGTATAGACGTGGTTTTGGAAATGTATACGAAAATTAATGAAATAATACTAAATTTCGTACAATTTGGTTTTAGGTGAACAGACAGCAAAGACCTAAAATGGTAAAGACTAGACAAAAGGCATTCTGAGCAAATGGTTTGTATCTATACTGTCTGGGTAACAGCTTATGGCAGGACCATGTTAATATAAAAAAATATATTTATAAAAAAAAAATGACAAACAAAAGTTTGAAAAATCAAAAAATTGGGTTTCAAAATTCTATTCCACAGACTTTCCAAATTAATTGCATATTGCCTAAGCGGTTTAAATCGCATAACATTTCTAACTATGTTGTTACGATATCATAACAACAGAGGTATTTTCACAGGGTTGCCATATCTTGACTCTGTCTTGTCCCATCTTTATACTTCTATGTCTTTGCAGACAGTGCTTTCAGTTTGGAATTTTGTATTGGGGTCGCTGCTTCTGTATATGTTTGACACATGAAGGTGGCTTTGGGAGTATGTATTATAATTGTACGAAAAGTACTAACAAAGACCTAAAATGGTAAAGACTAGACAAAATGCATTTTGAGTAAAGGGTTTGTGTCTACAATACATAGAGTAACAGCTCATGGCAGAGACATGTTAATACAAAAACTACAATTACAGAAACAGATAACAAATAAAAATTTGAAAAATCCAAAATTTTGGTTTCAAAATTCTATTCCATGGACCTTTCCGAAAATTTGGAAATTGTCTTAGCGGTTTAAACCAGTCAACATTGGTAACTATGTTGTCATGATATCGTAACAACAGAGTTATTTTCACAGGGTTACCATATCTTGACCCTGTCTTGTCCTATCTTTACACTTCTATGTCTTTGGTACTAAATGGTACAAAATTTGGTCTGGGTTGATGAGATAGAGATAAAATTCTGAAATTTTATATTTGGATAACTGTTGATATCTGTGGTTGAGATTTGGGTGTGGTTTGGAAATGCTTTCTATATTTGTACGTAAAGTACTAAATTTGGTATTGAGTGAATGTATAGAGCTGGAATCTCAAAATTTGATATTGAGGTCTCTATTGGTATCTGGTGTTGAGATTTGGTAGTGGTTTTGCAAATGCGTACTATAATTGTTCGAAAAGTACTAAATGATGCTAATATTAGTTCACTGTTGGTGTGTAGAATGGAGAGATGGAGAAACATGTTATTAAATTTGGTATTGGGTGAAGGGATAGAACTCAAATTCTGAAATTTCATGTCTCGGGGTTTTTTCTAGGGTTTAGACGTTGAAATAGTTTTGGACAGAAAAATCGGAGGAGGGTTCATTGTGCAATGCTTTTACTAATATCCTCCTCGGTAAACTTCAAAATAAAAGATTTTGAAACTTTTTGGTGTAAAATGTAAACATTTTCAAAAAGGACTTGAAAAAAAAAACAAAAACGTAAAAAAGTGAATGTTTTAAAGAAAATTTCCAGAGGCTCTAAGAAGATGAGGATTTTTTAAAGAAAATTCTCAGAAGCACTAAATAGACGTGAATTTTTTGAATGAAATTTCCAAAGGATATTAAAGAAATTTTCCAAAGGCTCTAAAAAAAAGCATGACTTTTTCTAAGAAAATTTCTAGAGCCTCTAAAAGGAAACGACATTTTCAGACGCTTTAAAAGGAGGTGCATTTTATAAAGAAAATTTCCGGAGCCTCTAAAAGAAAGTGAATTTTATACGGAAAATTTCCAAAGGATCCAAAAACATGTATTTTTCAAATAATATTTCCAGATGTACTGAAAAAGCGCGTATTTTTCAAAGAGATTTTCCAGAGGCTCTAAAAGGACATGCATTTTTTAAGAACATTTTTAGAGAGAATTTTTTTTAAGAAAATTTCAAGATGCTCAAAAAGGTGCTGATATTTTTTAGGAATATATCCAAAAAGCTCAAAAAGGTTATGGATTTTTAAGGAACATATCCAAAGGCTCCAAAAGGATATGGATTTTTTAGGGAAAATATCCAAACGGATGTGGATGTTTTAAAGAAAATGTTCAAAGGTTCTGAATCTTTTCGAAAAATATATAAAACTTTGAAAGTATGGAAATAAAGTACTGTGTATAAAGTTTTGATCAAATATTTATCAAACCGAACCAATTGGGGATTTTGAGTACTTAAGGGGCCTAATATGAACTGTTGGAACGAATCTAAAATTTTAAGGTGGACTTTTGGCTGAAGAAATAAAGGGCACTTTTTAGTTTAAAAATAAATATTGAAGCATTATGCCGCCTGTGTCCATAAAATGAACGCGATTCTTTCGCAATTTTGTTTGAGGCGCTTTGTGATCTGGAGAAAGAAAAAATGTAATTTTATTTATGGATAAACTATGTATAAAATAATTGTCCAGCCGCCCACTTCCCGCATTAGGGTAGCCGCTGCATTAAAGTCTTTTGATAATCGTGCCCAACATTTTTGGTGACTTTATTAGCGTCCGAAGCTTTTATATAGACCTTAGCCAACTGTAGCTGTATTTGCTTCGCATTGAGATTTTTCGTAGTATTTTCTCTATTAAAAAAGATTTGAGTTAACATTTAATTTATAAAAAGTAATGGAATGCTTTAATTTTTCACCGTCTTCTGTCGTTTTTTTTTTTTTAATTTTAAGAACTAGGCATCTTCAATAAATTTTGAATAAAAAATTATTTAAATTAGTGATATTTGTTGAAAATCACATATCATACCAACATCTGAACGTCAACGTATAAGAAAATCTTCTAAAATTCATAAATTATTTGAGATATTTTTTTAAAATATTTTTGACATATTAATGCACCTACCTGTATTCTTCTATCATGGATTTTATTATTTTTTGGCACTCAAATTTTGCATTTACTTGTATAAATCCAACGTGTTAAGTTTTTTTTGGTTGTCTTCATCTTTCTTTTCAGCCAAACACCAAATGCCGTTCCAAATACTTTTTTTTAATTTTCAAAACTCTTTGCTTTGAGATAATATCCCACACAACAATCCGAATCAGCTTTCTTTTAATTCATACACTTTGAGAATAATTTATATTTGTGGGTATATTTTGCTGTTAATGGCCAGCTAAACTTGATCAATAATTCGTAACACACTCATGTTTGTTTATATGTCCACACAAACTACACACATTGTTATTTTGTTTTCTTTTTATTTGTTGTTTTATTTTGATAACAGCAAGCTGTCACACGGCACACAACACTTCACATAGCCGTGATCGTCTAGTGGTTAGGACCCTACGTTGTGGCCGTAGTAACCCAGGTTCGAATCCTGGTCACGGCAATGTTCGCAGGAACATTGTCACGGGTGAAGTTTTTTTTATTATTTAAATTTTTAGATTTTTTAATTGTTATGAAAATGTTGAGTGTTTAAAGTTTTGGAAATAATAAACAAAATTTGTCAACTATAATAATATTAATGTTGTCATTGTCATAAATTTTATAGATATTAAAACTTAAAACCTAAAAAAAAAACTTAAATAGGATAAAAATAAACATTTGATATTTGCTAGAATCATTTACAATCTGTTCTAATAACAAAAAAATATATATTTTGTATATAATTA